GGGACAGTCCAACACTGCGACAAGCTGTGCCTTACAGGGGCTGGGCTTTGTGTTATGGCCACAGGCAGATCTAGAACTAACTCCTGTCCCTTTGGTTGCTGTCTGAGATGCACGTGAGAACAGGGCTGGTTTTCATGAGCTCACGAGCGTTTGATCTCCATCCTCTCTGGCTTTGAGTTCCTGGGTTTTTTTACTATTGATTTATCTTTTGCCACCCAAAAACCCCTCCAGTTTGTAGCCTTATGAAAGGAAAAAGGGGTTTATCATAACACGGCTGGTTGAAAACTACAAATACACCAAAGCTTTGCTGTGTCACATCAGAGGGATTTGGCTTTGTACCACAGGGATTGCCTGCGACGGTCTGTTCACCCTGCTGCCTCGCCAGCGCGGGTATAGCCATTTCCAAAGGCGACCCCAGCAAGCCAAAGAGCTGAATCTGTTTCACTGCAGCGTTTGCTGCTGAGTTACAACCCATGGGCTCCATCGAGGGAGCAGAGCCCTGGGCAGTGCTGGTGGCTCAGTGCTCCTCAGTGCCCCCAGTTTCACCTGCCTCTGCCCTGAGGAACCTCACTGGCTCCAGGCAGGGCCATTAAGCGGCTTTGATGCTGAATCACGCTGCGGGCTGCCAGCATTGCAGAGGGTTTGCATCTGTCTTTTTCCATCGTAGACATGGATGGAAATGGAAGCGCTGTGTCTGGTACCAGCTCTGCGGCCATAGGGGCTCATTTGTGATCCCTGCTGCCTCCTGTGTGCGTGCTGCTTTGCTGGGAGAGGGAAGGAGTCATCTTTGGGAAGCTGTGAGGCTGTCACCTCCAGTAAGTCCTGCCCTGGGCTGCTCAAGTGTGTTGTACAGAGACAAGAGCTGTGTAGGACAACCAGTTCATCCCAGACTTGGCAACTGGTCTCTCCAAGCTGAGCTGGGTTGGAAGCAGCAGTGCCATTCGTTCCCAGAGGATGCCAGAGCTGTGAGGTGAGGGGAGGGTGTCGGGATGCAGCTGAATGAAGTGGTTGTGCACTTCAGCTGCAGTAAGGATCAGTGGCCTTGGCTGAGCAGTGTGCTGTTACACAGAACCAAACCCTGGTAGTGACCCAAGGAGTGCGTGATCCACAGCCAGCAGCCTTCCAGCCTGGCTGGGAAAAGGCTGAAGGCAGTGGGTTTGGTAATGGCTGGGGTTTCAAGCCTCGGTTTAAGGGATTTATATTGGTTCCTGGAGCTGCCTGCTTTTAGGCTTTTTGAATGGAGGCAGGTATTGCTGTCACCCTTGAAATCTATGGTTGGATCAATAATTTGGGGGTTTGGGCAGATTTGGAACGTGTTCTGCTGTACTCGGTTGGGCACCGCGCAGTAGGGCCAGCAGTGAGCAGCGGTTCCTAGTGGCTATTCCCCATCCCATCCCTGTGTGCTGCAAGCAGGGAGGATTCCTCCTCCTTCCCTGGTCTGGCAGCAGGCATCCCACAATAGAACCATGGAATAGTTCGGGTTGGGAGGACCTTCAAAGCTCATCCAGCTCCAAGCCCCTGCAACGAGCAGGGACATCTTCCACTAGACCAGGTCCAAGGAGCTCAGTGCTGCTTGATTCCACAGCATGAGGCTGACCTGTCCGGACCTTGGTCTGCTCTGCCCTGTGCTGTTTTCTTCTGCCTTTTGCTTATCTGTATGGTTTTCCACCCACTGCACCCAAAATACCCGCTTCACCCTGCGCTTGCTCTGGGAGTGTGAAGCAATAGTTAAATGTTCAGATGTTCTCTCTCATTTAGACAGAAGAAACAAGTTCAGCTTTGACCATGCATGTTACATTTTAATTTATCTCATGCCAAGAAATACAAAGAAAGTGTATAGGATATACCACATCATCCTGCAGGGAAAGAAACACCCATCAGCAAAGAGAAGCACCCAGCTGCGGTTCCTGATGTGTTCATGCTCTGTGTGAAACGGGGCTCTTCCAGTTTGGCTTCAAAACAGGAGGAGCTGGTGCATGGACGGTGGTTGTGGCAGTGGGGGGATAGACCCTGCGCTTCCATGCAAGGATCGCGTCCTGGGCACCATCTAACACGTGGCATCAGGGTTGCCTTGGTGAATCCTGCACACGTTCCCTTTCTGATGTTTCTTATCCCGGATGGGTATTTATAGGTTCGAATTTTGCTACCTACTGGTGTCAGCAAATGCTTTACAAACATTCCCACTCTGCAAAGGCTGCTTTTCCCCAGCACCCCCTTGGCTTGTGCCCAAGCTTGGGAGTTTTCAGTTCAAACCGAGCGGTCTTCGCCTAAATTAAAGGTTTTCTATCGAAAGAAAAACGACCTTAAATCTGCGATTGCCTCAGCTTGACTGTGCAGCCCTGGCCGTGGTCCTGTGACAAGGACCCGAGTGATCGGGTGAGGTTGGGCACACTGGGGATACAAAAGGAATAGGTCATGGGAGCAGCCCAGCGGGTGCATTTCTGCAGCCTCCCCCTGGACTCTGAATGGAAACAGGGGATTAATTTTATCTAAAAGGCAGGATCTGCTCCCCTTGTCTACATGGAGAAGTCTGTATTTGGAAGGGCAGCTACTGCAGGGGTATGTGCTGGAGTCCGGGGCAGGGCCTTGGAGGAGCAGTTTCCCTCCTCCTGGATAACCCCTGTCAGTGAAGCCCAGCAATGGACACCCAACGAGACCCTGTCTGGACTGAGGAAAAGGCAGAGGATGGGGGGGAAGAGCCTGTGAGGCTCGTGCATTGCTCTAGGGGGGAAGCATGTGAAGTATAAACAGGGGACGAATGGGAACGGGGTGAAAAACCCACCAGTAAAATCAAACCCCCATTAGCAAGCAAAGTCTGAAGTCAAATCTTCTGTCGCTTTCTCTCCTCCCTTTTGCCTCCTCTGTCAGCACCCGTCCGCGTGTTGCTGTGACCGACTGCTTCCTGCTAGACCTTTCCTGACCATCGGTCACTGCATCCGTAAGAAGCTGGTATGAAACCAAGCTACCTTGTCTGTCTTCCACCAAGCTCTTCTGTGTCACCCCGCAGAGCCCAGCTCTCCCCAAACCCTTGGCAGAGGAGCCCAGGGACACCAGCGATAGAGGGGTGCCACCAGCCACGTGCTCTGCTCAGAGACTCCTTCCCAAGCCGTGCAAACTGTGTATTTATATCCCACCGGGACCTCACACTTGTCGATCGTAACTCCTACTTCAGCTTACATTTAGAGACGTTTCCCACCTTCTCCAGCTCTTCATCAAGCTATCCTCCTACCAGCTCCACCGCAGGTAAGGCTGCATCGCCATCGCATCGCTTGGATCTCTCACCTCTCTGTCACTAGGGGATAGAGATTGGCCAGACCCTGAGGATTTCATGACTTGTTTTAGTTGCAAACCTGGAAACCTCGATTCTGATGTGTGTGTGTGTGCAGGGAGGAGGCTGCAGCAGGCAGCAAAGGGCTGTCACAAGTACCAGGGCTTGCTTGCGGGGATGGAGAGGGAAAGTCTCTCCGTGACATAGCTGTGATCGCCCTCCTGCATGCTAAAAACACAGTTAAGGAATGGAGCGGTTGTGCCTGGATGTGGCAGAATCACAAGGGGTGCTGCTGCTCCCCATAGACCAAAAGAGGACCCCTGCTGCTGCTGGCCCTAGTTTGAAGCGCTGTGATTTACCTCTCACAACACAATAGTAAGTGAGGTGAGTGTCAAGGGTTGGGGGCTCAGCACCTTTTTCTTCATGAATGCAAGCTGGTGGACCCAAAAGAGGCAAAGAGGCAGCTGGGCTAGCATAAAACAGTGGGATGGGGAGAGCAAGGATTTAGTGGCAAAATACCAGGCTGCAAAATGTATGGGAAGCTGGGGGAGAACAGGGAGAGGAGGCTTTCCAGATCATCCTGGGGAAGTTATTTCTCCAGCACTGGAAAGCCAGGATGCAAGGAGGGAAAATATTGTGTCAGGAGGAGCTGCAGAGGCTTTCCCCTGGATTTGAATGCAGGGTAGGAACACAAAGCTGCATCCAAGAGGGCAGGATCATTGTATCTAATCGGAAAGAAGCTTTTAAAGTGAAAGGCATTTAAATGTATTTTTTCCCTATTTTATTGTAGCTAACAGTGAGGCAAGAAGCAGTGACCTCAGCAGCCCCATGATCCAGGTGAAGACAGGAGGCACAAACCACATTGGGTACAAGCAACAGATCATCACCATGGGGTCTTTTGGGAAAGCTTCTGCCTTCTCCTGCATTCAGGTGAACTCTGATTCCTCTGTGTTTCCCCAGCCTGGGACTTCTGGCAAGGACCATTGCAGCTGCCTCGCAAGGCCCCCTTCTTCCTCCAACTGCAGGTATCCCAATGCGTCCTGAAGAGTGGTGTGTGTTTGCATAGATGCTCTTGGAAAAACCCAGTGTGAAGGAGATCTGCATTCATATGTGGTTTTAATGAGGAGGAGACAGAAACACAGGTTTCCTTATGGAGCTCATGTGACTGAGCAACTTTGCCATCGGTGCAATTAGAGCAGCGTAATGCTAACCCACCTCGTGGGGGGTGGCAGGGTTTAATCCTTTGAACGAGGGAAAGCTCTTTAGATGAAAGGCTTTATATAATGATAAAAGAGCATTTAAATTCTTCCTTAATAAATGTTGGGTGCTCTCAAGTGCTATAACTCATTGCGGCAGCTTTCCCTGAATGTCAGCTCTTCCTGCCCAAGGAGGAGCTTGCTCAGCTCTTACCATAAGCTGGATTTTGGCAGCCCAAAGGGCAGAAGATGCACAGACAGGCAGCACTGCCCTTATAGATCTAGGGGAAAACAATGTGTGCTTCCCAGCAAGCAGCTTTTGGATTGGAGTGTTAAAGAAGGAAACGTCTGGGGGGTTTGATGGGGTTTCATCAACCATAAGGGGAGATGCTGAGTCTCTAAGGAGGGTTTCTGAAGGGATCTGGTGCCAAGGGGCAGCCTGGCAGGGCTGTGAGTGGGAGCTCGCACCCAGCAGCGCTCAGGGGCCCCTGTTTGCTGAGGATCACAAAAAAATGAGCTGCAAAAGAAAGGTGGAGAATTCAGCCCATTTTTGAAGCCAATGCTTTGTAATAGAGCGCCGGCAAAGGGGTGGACGGGTATGGAGCCCCAGGAAAAGTGCTGTAGGGATGTGCTATAGCTGTGAATCCCATTTAACACAGGGAAGAAAGGTAACAGAGTGTCTAGGGGACGTGGCTTTCTGCAGTGACTACCATGCAGAGCCATGGGCGTTCTTGTCACCTGTTTGGTTGCTCCTCTTTAAAGTGTTTTCTTCCACTAGGCTTTACTTGAGTTCCGGGGTAACTACAGCGTGGATTTACAGCGCACCCCACACTGTGCTAACCCCACACGTGCACTCGCATAGTCCAGACAAGAAGCTAGTGCGAAGCAGTTACCATGTGTGAAGTTTCTTATGGGGTGCAGTAGATTCTCCATGCAGACAAGCCCTCGGGAACGTTCGATTTGATCTAAGGTTTGGGTTGTTTGGGGTTTATTTCTCCCCAGGAGATTGATGGTTGGGAGCAGAAGTGCCTTGAAGCACCTTGTACCTTGGTGCAGTCCATGTATCTTGGTGCCAGGTTGCCAGCTAGAGCCAACAGAAAGGCCAGGGAGTGCAGCTCTTGGTCGTGTACTTGTGCCCGCAAAGTTCTGATAAAAGAGAGGCTCAGCGAATGCAGAGCCCATGGACATGGTCAGAAATCACCTACAAAGCCTGAATAAATCACAGGCAATAAAACTTTGCATAGTCCGGGTGGTCAGATAGAGACCAACCTCAATAACAACCCACAGCACGGACAGGGTGAGGGGGAAGAAGAAGGGATGGGGCTGAATGGAGGCTCGAGGGAGCGTGTTGGGATCGGATCCCAGGGGAAGAAGCATGGTGTGGAAGACATGGCAGAGTGCACAGTACCTACAGGCAGCTTGGGAGGAGCAAAGTCTGTTTTCTTGTTACATTAAATATAAAACATTATAAAATAACACTACTTGTGGAACTGACCCCAGCCAGCTCCGGGGGTGCTGGAGACTTCCAGAGATGCAGAACAGCATGTTAGGGATGGAGGGAAAGGAACAGGGCTTTTAAACTCCTCTTTGCCTCTGAAAATCTCCTGGAAAGCCCTAATCTGAAGCCCAAAAGGGTTGGAAAGTGGGGGCTGGATCATGCTGAAGCTCCTGTGTGATGGACATGATGTGACATAAATATGTAAGTGGGTAGAACGGGCTCTCCGTGCCATGATACTGCTGCTACAGATACACCAGGCTCTTTTCTCAGCTCCATGAGTATTAACCTCGCTTTGGGTGCACAGAGAGGGAAACGGGTGGGTTCACAGAGACAGCATTAGTTTTCATTCCATTAAAAACCCCACCACTGGGTCAGGGTGAGGAGGAGCCTGGGGTTCTCATGCAGCAACATCCTGCTCTCCCAGCTCTGAGATCTGCCCTAAGCGATAAAAGAGCTCGTAGGAACAGACATGGAGAACATTCCCAAAGGCATGCAAATGGTCATTGTCTCTTTTTTGTTTGGTTTTTTTTTTTTTCATCAAAAATACAAAAGCACCCACCACATCCTCCAGCTTTTGCTGCAGTTTCGTGTGGAGCAGAGCCGTGGTCCTGCTGCAGCTCTGCTCTTCCCTCCTCTCCATGGAGCAGCTCTCAGCTCCCGATGGCAGTTTGAGCTTTGGGGTTTTATTTTTATTGTAGAGACAGCATCTGACGATTTAAAAACCAACAACTCCCCATGGATTCAGTGACTTGTGCCAAAATCCTCAGGAGGATTCCTCAGAATGTCCTGTTCTCGCCTTTTAAAAGAAGCTTCCTTCTTGGAACTCCCTTCTCTTGTACTTTAGTTGTCTCCCCACTCCGTGAGTTTTGCTGGAGGGGAATGAGGTAGTGGATTTCCCCTTTCTCCTCTCTGCGTGGCATCCCATGTCCTTTCCCATTCCTTCTGGCGATGTTCGTTATCCCATCACTTGTACAAACTCATTTCCAAGAGGCGATGAAGTAGAAGCATGCGTTCCTTCCGACGGCGCTCCAGAGCAGGCTGTCCAGGGTTGCCCACCTACACTGTGACAATTTTTTGTTGCAAGGCTGAAAGTAAAACCCCCAAAAGGAAAGTTGTCTTCCTCCTCTTCGAGGCATTTGCATGCTTTAAACGTCTTCTAGGAAACTGCAAAATAAAGAGAGTCTTAGGGCACCTTCCAGTAGTCACTGGTGCTTCCCTTATGCACTTGGGTTAGGCTTTGTTCTGAAGTTCCCGTTTGCCTGTGCTGCATGCTGGTCATGATGGGCTGGCAAATGGGTTTGTGTTTGGGAGGCTCCTCAAACATTTTGGGATTGGGCAGGTTGATTTGTGTGCTGAAACCCTTCAGTTTTTACCCCACTATGCCCTTGTAAAACCATCACAGGCTTTGCCGAGGAAAGATCTGTCTCCGGGGGGACCTTGTATGGTCACCATCGTGCAATGGGAAGACTTTCCATTCTGGTCCTTTGAACAGGGTGTGTTGTTACTGAAGGGGCCCTGTTCTCCAAGGTGTTCTGCATCTGTGTGTGCAGCTCATGATGGTCATGATTAGTGTGCTACCACTGCAGTTGGGGTGAGAACTGAGCACCACCTGCCTTAGGGTAGTGGTTGGTGATGGTGGGCATGTGTGTCCTATACAGTGGGTTATAGACCAGGGAGGGTCCTGCTCTCGCTGGGCTGGGGAAAAGAGAAGGCGATGTTACCTCTGATGCTGAGTGAAATGTAGAGCACGATGATGATGGTCCCCAGGACGATGGAGACGACGCTGAGCAGCCTGGCCATGCGCCCGAGTCGCCGTGCTCCATCCAGGTCCCCTTGCTGCCCGCTGTTCCTCGACTGGGGAAAACACAGAAAAAGGCTCTTAAGGGTAGCCTTGGCTGTAGTCCCCAAAATGAGAGGTGATGTGATTCCCCCTGTGAGCCCATGGCTTTGACAGCCCATGGTCTTGCTGAACTTACATGGCTTGGAGAAGCCCCGCCTTGAGATGCTGTTCTGCTTGTCCTGGATAGGAGCTGGGCTGGCTTGAGTCTGTCTTCTGTTAGAGTGACTAAGAGCAAGCCCCAGCATGGGACAGGAGGCACAGCACAGCTCCAGCCCCTTTCTCTTCCATAGAAAACCCTGGAATTATTAAGTTCGGGTCCCAGAGCAGCTCAATTCTATGGGACTGCACCCCCAAGGGGCACCACTGCCTTTCTGTGCAGGGAAAGCATCCTGCCACCATCATCTTCTGCAAATCCATAATTGAGAAGTGATGTCTATTACAAGTTTAACAGTCACTGACAAGCTGCAAAAGCAAAAGCAGTGACAGACATTTCCTAAGCAGCATGTGGCCTCTTTGCTGGCTGCTGAACTGAATGTGTGTGTGAGAGGAAGGGGCTTTCATAAAGTGGACACTAACTGCTGGCTTTCATCTTGTGCTGGGATGTGATTTGGTGCCGCTGGTTTACCCTGGATTTCTGCATCAGCATAGATGGGTTGTGTTCACCAGCTCTGTTACTAAATGCAGTCCTCCTACAGTGAGCTCCTGCTCTTATGTGTGCTGTAGGGAGGGAAGGAATAGGCCATGCAGCTTCTCTATTCTGCTTCTAGTTCCATTGTGATTTCCCCTGCTGCTCTTCAGCTCCATTGTGATTTCCCTGCCTGATTTCTTCAGACAGCTCAGTAAAAGCTTTCCTAACTAAAAGAAATGGCTCCCTGGCTGTGGCAGAAATGAGGAATTGGATGGGGAAAGCACTGGAGGGTGCCTGGAAATTACTGTGTGTAGACTCATTAAAGGATTAAGAGAGATCCCCAACGGTTGGAGCTAAAACAGGACTTGCCTAGTGCTGGTGTTGGTGGGCCCTGCTGTTGTAGTCAGCTCTCAGTGGGATAAATTGCAGCAATGGCAACCCAGGGTGGATGGAACGCACAGCTTGGAAACTGCTTTTCACTGCTCCATCAGGGCTGGCCACCCATGGGCTTGACAGAGATCTAGACCCTGGGGGCAGCTCCAGGGAAGTTAGTGAAGCTTCCTTAGGGAAGGGCTGCTGCTGCCACAGCTGCAAGGCGCTGGATGGGTTGAGCAGATCTGGGCTCATACCCAAAAGGAAAAGACTTAGGTTGGGTTGAGCATGGGCTCACCCAGACCTTGCCTGGTGCCTGATGGTGCACGAGGGTGATGCTGTGGCCTGACTCCTCCATGCTTTGATGCCAGCTCTTACTGCCCTGTGTTCAGCAGTGCTGCTGACCTGCTGGGCAAGAGAAGCCTCCACCTATGCCACCCGCACACAACAGCCTGAAGACCAAGCAGAGCTCACCAGATGAAGCACAATACACAGCTGCATGGTAAACTTTCAGAGTAAGTGATTAAATAAGGACTGATCTTGCTTCTCGCACTTGTAATTGGCAAATCACTTGGTTCCCAAGTGAAAAATACTGGAAGTAAGAATTCCTTGTGAGGAAGCAGCATCACTGCTGAGAGAAGAGCCCGCAGTGCTCCTTGGCTTGCTTGGAGCGAGCATGCTGGGGCTTCCTGCACTTGGCTAAGGGAGGCCCTAGCACTTAGCAGAAGGGCTCTGAGCTGCACCACGGCGAGGTTATTGTGGTGGAATTACTCACCATGCGTCAGCATTTGCTGTGTGTGGTAGAGAGGCTGGAGCAGAACAGGAGCTCCCTGCTCGGGAAGAGGCAGATAGGAGCAGCGCGGCTCTCCAGGCAGAGAAACCTTCCCGAATTCACATAGTGCCCTTCTGCCTCCCATGAAATCCATTGGGAAAGGGTTTTGGAGGGAGGGGAATCGGATAAGGGGGTTTAAAGTCTATGCAGGCAACGTTTTCCACCTTGATCCAGTTGAGGAGTTTGGCAAAACTCCCTTCGACTTCACTGGGGACAGGCTTTTGTGGATACTTTAACTGCCTCGGAGCAGTTACTCTTTCTTTAGAGCTGGTTTTAAGTATTTAACGTTTTTACAGGGGTTAAGTCTTCACCTGTTCCATCCACCTCCTGCCATGCTGCCTTGGCTGAGCCAGGGCTTAGGAAAAGAGGGAAACCAGGAGCAGGATGCAGGGCTGCCTGCAGGGCCCCCGTGTACCAGCTCCTCCCTTTGGAGTGTGGCTCCTACAACTGGGGAAACAGCTAAGAAAATAAATACGCTACCTAAAAAGAGTTAAAGATGGCAGTACATTGTCCTTGCCCATGGCAGGGGGGTTGGAACTGGACGATCTCAAGGTCCTTTCCAACCCTAACTGTTCTATGAATCTATTAAAACAATCCCACTTTCCTTTCAAAAGAAGTCTGTCTCGGAAATAACTGCACTGGAAATGGTCCCCTCTCAAATGTTTTGAAATGAAATAGGAGGCCCAGCACAGCTCCAGCACTAACTGAGGAATGTCACTGAGGATTCAAATGAACAACTACTTGACGCTATTGCACCATTTCCACTTCATCTTGCTCCCTTTTAGCAGCACCATGACCAAATGGTCTCCAGCCCAGGCTGTGTGCTGGCTGCTGCTCCGCAGTGCTCCGTAGGTGAAGTGCAGCTTTCAAGGCTTCCATGTTCTCGTTTTAGTTTGTATCACCATGTAAATAACATAGCAGAGCCTCAAAGAGGCAGCTGCTTCCACTGCATCCCTGCAGCCGTCCTGCTCCGCTCTCTTGACACCCTCTGTAACACCATCCCCAATGCTGGCACCAAGAGAGCTCAAGACTTTGCTCCTTCTGGTCTCGGCAGCCCGTTTGACAGACCATATCCAAAACCAGCGGGATGCAGCCAAGAGCCAATTCTCATTACAGAACAGGAGGTGACAAAATGAAGCCGGTGAGAGCCGGGGAGGATGCGGTACCCAGGGATTGACAGGATCCCTGCCCTGCTCACTGACAGCTTCCAACGGTGGGGATTCTTTTTTGGGCTCCGTTTTTTTGTAACATGTGTAATATTTTTGCAGGGGGTGGGATAGATTGCCATGAAATCCGCAGCTTCAGCTGTCTTCTAGGGAAAGCACATAAGCTAAGGAATTGGATATATTTATCACTAAAGCCTCTGGAAGTGTTTATTGTTCATTTATCCTGAACAATTCTGAAACATAGATCAGCACCGGCACGGGCTGTTTAGCTAGCTATTGTTACTGTACATGTGTTATTCATTGGTGTGGAACAGTTGGATTTTAGCTCTCTAGTAGCACTAATCCTGTGTTTTGCTTTCCACATAAAAACATTAACATCTTGTTTATTAATCGAGACTCGCCAAGGCAGACTATCCCAGAAAGGCTGGAGGGCTATGGGGGAGTGAGGCGCTGTGGGTGTGCCAAAGGGATTCCCTGTGTGGCGGTGCAGCAGCAGCAAATCAGTAGGGCACTAGAAGTGGGGCTGGAAGGACAGGCTGCACCACAGCACCTGTGGGGCCAGGTAAGGCTGGGTGACTCAAAAGAGGTATTAATCTGACCTGCGTTCAAACTATTCCCTGTTCAAGCTGCTGCTCTGGAGGTTCTTTTTGTTAATAGATTGCCTAACTTGCCTCGTTGCAAAAGAATGCAATTACTTTTCCATGCTAGTTACAGGGATGGAGAAGATGGATCGTCACCTCCTCTTCCTCGCAATTGTTTCCAATTTATGAACTGGCTTCAGTTGCACTCTGCTGCCTTCCACCAGTTACTCAGAATAATAACCCTCAACACTTGCCTTGAAGAAAACATTCTAAGAGAGATATAAATCACCATCAGACCTAGAGGACTGTGCCATTTAACATGAATTAATGATAATTAGACTTCTCCCACATCTTTGGGGAATGACAGTACTGATTTGGGATACAAAGTGCCGTGCAGAATTGCCCTCCCTGTTACTGTATGCTGGTTCTGGGTGGATTTACATATTTTTTTCAGTGCATTTAATTTGTTTGGACTTTTGTACACTGATAAGTGACCGGTCTCTTCTTCCCTGAGGTGGCTGCACTTTGGTTGGAAGGCGAAGGGTTTTGATAACAGCCCTACAGTGTGTGTGGTACCCAGCCCTGCCCTGCACCCCTCCAAGATGGGTTCCAAAGCTGCGCTTCCCTTGTGTCCATCAGCCTCACTCTCTGGCTCGGGGAAGGACCCGAACCCCTCAGTGCAGCCAGGTCCTTGTTTGGTCAAGAAAACACATCCAAGTGTCAGTGGAGGAGCCTCCAGGTAACTCATTTCCACAAGACAGCATTATCAGGACCAGGCTGAGGGCCAGAGCTGATTTTCTTTTTCCACCACTGGCCATAGGCCCTGCTGGGATCTGAGAGCAGCTTTTGAAAACTGATTTATGAGACAACCCAAAAGCATTCATTTGCTTTCCTCTCTTGTTACTGCTCATTACTCAGGAAAAATAAGCTTTCATGTGCAAAAAGCATTGACTTAGGAAAGAAAAATACAATGGCAAAGCTAAAGGAACATCAGCACATTGTGGAAAGTTCCCTCTGCTGCACCAGCCACCAGGAATCACGACAGCCTGGTTCCTGCTCAGGTCTGGGGGTTGGTTTTATTCTGCAGGGAGACCTAAGCCTGTGGGAGCCTTCGGAGTCACTGGGAATTACATTCCTCCCCCGTGTAAGCATCAGTTGATGCCCCAAGACCTATTCCTGCTGCCTCTGGTCAATGCTGTTACCTGCTTTGGAAGCAGAAGGCAGCCAAGTAGTCTTTCTGCCTTGTTGGTCCTGCCTGCCTTTGGGTTTAACACAGTAAATACACATCAGTGCCTCTCTGTCTAGCTGTATTAACTAACTTCTGCTCTTTCATCACTGTTTATTCTTCTACTCCATGGGGTTTATGTGGCCCACAGCACATCCCCACCGCGCTGGAGGCTGTAACGCCTGCAAGAGAGAGCGTGAGAATCTATTTTGCATGAAGGCTAATGTGGTTGGAAAATCCCCGTGAGAGACCTTGTTTATTACCATGGATATGCAATACCCAGCTGCTTTCCCTCTCGTTGCAGCGCAAAGCCAAACAAGGCTGGCTGGCTTCCCCGTATGCTGCCTAAACAGGCTCCACCACACAACTGTACTAAGCAGATGACAGCTGGCACTGGCAGAAATGATGATTCCTCCTCAAAATGGAAACTGGTCTCTCTAGAGGGCTTTCTGTGGCAACTGCTGGTGTCTGTCCTCAAGTTGGTGGTGGTGGGTTTGGGGGAAATGCTGGCTGTAGGTACCTTTCAGTGTATTTGTGTGGTAAGCAGGGAATTACTTTCCCTGACATGATTTTCAAATAGATTTGTCTCCATTGTAAAGGTATAAAAGGTGCCCAGAGGCTGAGCAGCAATGTAAGGGGGTGACTACAGTAGCAGGGCTGTGCTGACTGAGCCACCCTCTACTTGAGATGGGCAAGAGGCTGGCTGGCTTTATTCTCCCCTGCTCTGCTGTTGGTGTATTTGCTGAGGTAGGGGGGATATTGAATGGAGAAAATAGCTTCTTCAGGGCACCTAACAGAGGTGCAGGTGCAGCCTGTCGCTTTGAGGTGTCCGAGGAGCCAGCCTCCAGCCAGGGTCTCCCCTGCGCTGCAGGGCTGGGCTCGGCTGCTGGGTGGTGCGGAGGGAGGGAGGGAGATCCCTTGTCCTCGCTTCGCCTCGCAGCTCCTGCCCGGGGAAGCCCAGCGAGTCGCTCTGGACCGCTGCCGGGCGGCAGGGACCTCGCTTTCCTGGGTGCGCCCGCATCCCATCCTCAAATCCCCGCCATCCATCTCCATCCCGTCACCTCCCCGGGAGCTGTCCCCGGTTGGGAAGCCGGTCCCCGCCCGCCTCCCTTCGCCAGAGCCATGGAAGCACCGAGCAGCGGCACTGCGCGGCAGAGCCCCCCGCGATCCCGGTTGGGCTGCGGGAGGTGCGCGGGCTCCTCCCGCCCCGCTCCCCGCCGCGTCCCGGTCCCCGCCGGTGCAGCACCGCGGACAGCTCCGGCGCGGCCCCAGCCCCGGCCCCGGCCCCGTCGAGGCGGCGGCAGCGGCGGAGGCTCCGGGCGGGTCCGGGCACACGGCGGGTCCCGCACTCACCATGATGGAGAAGACGAGGCCCACGATGTTGATGGGCCAGACGGGGCAGAAGCAGGAGAAGATGGCGAGCACCAGGTAGTCCCGCGGGCGGCCCTGCTCCGGTGCCGCCGTGCTGGTGGCGATGGAGGAGGCTCTGCCCAGGCTGAGCCGGGACGGCGAGAGCGGAGGCGCCTCCAGGTGCCCGACCGACACCGACTTGTAGGAGAGCCCGTGCCCGTTGCGCTCCGCCTCGCCGGGCAGCGCGGCCGTGAAGGATTTGGAGCCGCGGAGGCCCTTTTCCTCCCGACTCTCAGTCGCCGCCAGCAGCTTCTCGGTCTCCTGGAAGCGGGTGGGCAGCGCCGTGCCCGAGCCCGAGCCGGAGCCCGAGCCCGAGCCGCCGGGCGCGGAGCCGGTGCTCGCCATGGCCCGGCGGAGCGGGCTCCGGGAGCGCCCCGCAGCCGCCGCTCTGCGCCCGGGGCCCGCCGCCCCGCGGGAGGCCGTGCCGGAGGAGGGGCCAGCCCGGTTCAGCCCCCGGGGCAGGATTGGGGCCGCGGACCGCCCCCGGGGTGTCCCCGATCCCCCCCGCCCCTCGGCTGCGCTCAGCCTCCGCCCGGCTCTCTGCCCCCGGGGATGCGGTGGGTGGGGAAGCCGGGGTGTCCCCTGTCGCCTCCAACCGAGGCTCTGCCCCGCCCCACCGATCCCCCGCTCTTCCCGGGGGCTCCCAGGGGCTCGGCTCCTCTGCAGCGGAACGTGAGAGCCCAGCCCTAAGCGGGGCGCAGGGCGATGCCGAGGGCAGCTCCGTGCCGGGTGCCGGTGCACACAGCGCTGCTGTTCCTGGGGCTCTACTTGCCGCAAGCCTTTCCTCGGGTGGGTGGGGGACATGCGGCAAAGACCAGAGCCACACACCCGTCATCGCTGCGGAGAGGGGCTAGAGCTGCCCTGTGCCCTTTGCAGGCAGGAGCTGCCCCGGGTGTGATGGTGTCTGGGCAGTCGGTGAGTGCCCGGTGGTATCGCTGGTTCCACCTGCTCTGGGAAAGCATCTCAGGGCGAGAGGAGGTCCTGGGCCCTTTGTGAGGAGCTCACCCTGCCCTCGCTTTGTGTGGGTGAGAAAGCGAGAGACACAGCGACTGCAGACACCGACACCAAATCCGTGTGGTCCTGACCTGCAAAGGAGAAACGGTGCTGGTGCAGGGGTGGGTTACATCCTGCAAAGCAACTAACAGCATCCTTGGGATCAGGGGGTGCTGTGAGGGGCAGGATGGAGGTATAAATACCCCACATGGGTGGATGGCTGGCAAAGATAGATGTTTTCCACCCTTTCTGTATTATGCATCAATCCCAGATTTGTCAGGGATTTCCCTGGCAGTAAGTGCCATCTACGGGGCGCACCCAGCACCTTCTGCCTCTCCAAAAGGTGCCTCAGGAGCAGCGGGGTAACCACCAGAGCTGGGGGTAAAACAGATGCGAATTTGGGTGGGGAGAGTGGTTCATTGCGTCAGTTTCTGCTGGGTTTCATTTAAACCTTCTTTGAATGATGGTACTGCTGTGCTCTCCCTCCCCACGTGATGGGTGCTGACAGAGCAGGGGTATGCGCTACTCCAGGGGGGAGCCAGAGCTGGGAAAGCCACCCAGAGCAGGGATGCTGTTGGAAGAAGCAGGATTCCTTCAGAGGACATCGCAGCAGGCCTTCTCTTGGCAACGGGAACATCTGTTGGATACTAAAGCCAAGATGCCTGACACCGTCAGCACTTTAAAGAGGCTCCTTTGCTGAGCAAAGAGCTCTCTCTCCTGGCTGCTGCAAGCTTTCCTCTGCTCATTGCCCAGCTCCCTTGTCCCGCCTGGGGATTAAGGGAGGAGGAGGAGATACTGGAGAGGGACTGGCACAGGGGAGTGGAGGGTTGAGGTGGTTGTTCCCTCTCATATTCCATGGTTGAAATGTCCCCCGCAGGGAAAGAGCTCAGACTGCCCTCGGTGTGTTGGCAGACAGTGCTGGAGCTCGACTGGGAGCACTGGGAAAGGAGCAGCAGGGCTGGAGGAGCTCTGTGGGCGCTCAGCACTGCGGGAACGCAAGCAGTGTGATTTGCCCTATCCAAGAATCTGCCGGCTGTGATGTATGTGGCTGTAAAACCCAGCCTGATTCCTGCAGCAATTCCAGTTTGCTGAGCCTCAGGTTGAAAGGAGCCCTCTCAGCACCCCGGCCAGTCCAAGCTTTCTAAGCCAAAAGGAAGGGGCCTTTTTAGGGAAATCCCCCCTTCCTCCCCACTCCTGGGATCATCCGGGAGCATTCTATCAGCCTGTACCACCAGAGCCACTTTGCCACAATCAGAAACTGCAGACAGATGGGTGGGTTTTATGAAAGCCAGCATCTGTCTCCCCTCCCAGCCTCACAAATCTGCTGGGCACATTGGCATCAATGAGCTTAGCAGCCAAAGTCCCAGGGCACCAACCTTCCCCTGGTTCTGCCCCCCTCCTTCCGCAGCGGGAGCCAGAGCAACCAGCCAGCCAGAGGCTTTAGTGTGATCCCTGCAGCCCATCTGTCCACCCCACACACATTAACACCAGTGCTGCAGTGCTGGGTTTATAAGCCATGTTTTCTCACAGAGCAAGCAAGAGAGAATAAATAACAGCGACAACCAGCAACAGTGAGACCTCGCAACAGGAAACACGGAGCTGGCACTTCCAGAGGACTTCCCACATTCTCCAGTGTTACCACAGAGCAGAGACCCACAGCAGGGTCCCGTACGGCATGTTGGGGGCTCACAGCTCTTACCAGCAGCGCAGCTGAGCCCTGCATCCTGTAGTGCTTTCCTCGCACACAACAGCCCCTTCCCACTCCCCCCCCGACACACGCACACCCCATGTGTCCCGTGGATCCATTACCTTCCCTGCACCATCTCTCCACCCCAGCCCCGTGGGTCAGTGGATGGGGAGGCACTGCTGGTGTCCCCAGCTCTGGCAATAGCCCAGCTGCCAGGGGATGGCCCCGGACAGGGGGTCTTGCAGGCTGCCCGTGTATCTCTGCTGGCAGGCACCTCGCAGCCCAGGGTGGTGGGTCCCGCTGGAGCAATAGGCAGGGATGGGCACGGAGCGATCCTCCTTCAGGCTCTCGTAGTGATGGAGCTGCCTCTCGGGGGAAAACGCTGTGTAGAGAGGGGATGGAGGGCAGCGCTGCAAAGCGGCTGTGGAACCAGGCTCCCATGGGAGCTGGGGGTGGCTGGGCTTCACCCCTGGCTCCTGCACAAGGACCCCGGCCCGGCTGCGGCACTCGGAGTGCCAGCAGCAGCCGGCACCGTGCAGGGACAGGGACAGAGCCGTGATCCTGTTGATGGCTCGCCGCAGGGTAGCGATTTTAGAAAGCCTTTTGCCCCCGAGGTCGTGTTTGAGGGCCAGCCGCAGGGCGTTGAAGGCTTGGTTGTAGTCCAGGATCCTCTTGCGCTCTCTGACGTTGGCAGCCATCCTCCTGGCTTTGGAGCGCACCGGCCTGCTCCTCTTCCTCACCTTCATCCCTTCGGCATCACCCAGGCAGGTGGCTGCTTCCCTGCGCTGGGAGACCCACAGGCCCTGCCCATAGCACGCCTGGGGTGTGCTCCCTGCTTCCAGCTCCTCTTCCGAGCTGTCGGGCTCTGGCTCCGCGCCTTTCCCCATGACTGCTCCGGACATGGCTGTGCTGAGGGGGAGCAGGAGAGGTGCTGCTGCGGTCCTGCCTCCTGTGGATGTGGGAGGCACTCCTCCAGCCACACGCAGCAGCCTCTAAAAACCCCACCATGGGCTCATCACGTGGCTGCATCCCGACCCTCCTCACCTCACCTGCCTGCAGGTGTGCTCCCTGGCCCAGGGGCACAGGGCGAGTCCGGCCTGGCCTCTGCCTGCAGGGATGCTCCTGAGCATGGTGCTGGGATGGAGCGTGGGGCACCAGTTCTGGGCTGCCCAGAGGCTGCAGTGGGATGCTCACAGGGGGAAGCACCTCTACCAAGCACACATTGCAGTGGTTGCTTAATCCCTGCTAAGAGTTTGGGCAATGCAGGGGTTCCTTTGCCCCTCCGGCCTCTCCTCTGCTGGGTGAGCCTGCAACAGGGAATTCCTGGGTTTTATACATTGCTGTGGTTCAGAACCAGCCTGGGGCTTGGGCTGTGCTCCCACACACTCACTGCTGCTTCAGCATCTCTCATTTCCCAGCTAGGGGAAACCAAGGCACAGAGTGATGAAGTTGCTGAGGAGAAGACAAAATTGCTCCTGCCCCAGGAACAGGACTGGAGCACTGAGCTGCTTTTGAGACAGTGCCTTCGAGCTGTTCCACGCAGCTGCACCCCAGGGAGCATCCATGGTGGGCACGGAGGTAGGTGGGTGCCTGGGTAGGAGCAGCCTCTGTGAGCCAGTGGAGGAATGTGGGGGACTTGGCACGCCTCTGCCCTCAGAGCAGGAAGCAGGAATGTGGCAGGGGGGATTGGGGCAGGTGATAAAAGAGCTAAAGTGCTACCTGCCTCCAGAGCCTTCCTGTCCTTTCCCAGCAGAGAGAAGGAGCCTGGGGGCAGAGCTGTCTGGGCTGGTGCTGCTGGGCCTGCCAGGCACTTCCTCTGGGGAAAAGGATGCTGAAAGCAGCTCCTTGTTCTCTGCATCCATCTCCAGGCCAGGGGGACACAAGGACTTGCCAGGTGCAACAGGTCTGGAGGCCATGGGGAGGGCCAGGTCCCTGTCCCCCTGACCATCACGTGTTTGCACATCATTTCATTAGCGAGCAGCTGCTAAATGCCTTCCTGTGCAAGTGGTAATGCTATGAAGAATGGCCCAGGAGTGGGTCTGACAAATTGTTGGGGTGACTGGTGCCAAACCAGAGCCCTGGGAGAATGTGCCCCTCTCGATTCATCCCTTCCTATCCTATTGTCCCTGTTCACATTCGATCAATAGCCACAATTAGTGGGGGGCTATTTGTCTATTGCCCTTCTCCTCTCTTGGCTCTTTGAAGTTGGAGCTAATTTAGGTGCCTCTGCTCCAGGAACCCAATAAATCAGGAGCCAGGGCCTCGGGGATAGGGGAGGACCAGGCAGCGGGACTTCAAAGGGAAGTGAAGCTTGCACATATTTCTGAGCACTCACCTGTGCTCACTATGGCTCCCTTGTTCTCCCCAGCAGCCCTCTGGCTGCCCAGTCTTGCTCTGCCCAGGAGTGGATGCTCCTCCAGCCACTGACTTACCCACTGAGCTCAGGTCAGGAGCAAGGAGCTCTTTGGGATGCTTGAATGCCAGCAGGATGTGCATGCCAGTTCCACTTAGGGGTATGCCTGTCCAAAACCCAGCTATGCAAGATGTATCCCTGCCATGGGGATGGGTTTGATGAAGGCAGGAGGTGTGGTACAGAGCAGACGTGGAGGGGACTGATCTGGGCACAAATCCAGCCTCTGCTTGGGCAGAGACAGGTGCAGAGAGCAGGCAGCAGTGCTGAGGCTGCCCCATCCTGCCCAAAGCCCCTATGAAACGCTGCTGGGGATTCCCAGCATCTTGGCTTTTGGGATTCAGCCCCAGCTCTCGGAAGCGGGCAAGGGCAGACCATAAATCACGGGCCATGGGATGCCACCCGCTGCCTGTAATTAGTGCATCCCGCTGGGCTGTCCCCACCTCATCCTGGATGCTTCCTACCTAGGTGCCCATTACAGGGTGGGAGGCCAGCAGGAACGCCCACCCAGGCCCTGCTCCCTCGGCCCCCACTGATTTATTGCCATGCGCTGGAGAGATTTATGGGCTGAGATGGGGAGCCAGAAATGTGCTGTAAAGGCTCTGCCGGGCCCTTCTGCCTGACAGATGATGAAAGAGCTGTAATTATCCGTCGCCATGCATAAATCAGGCCACTCACGGCACCAGCCTGCCTCCTCCCCAGCCTCCACAGAGGGGTTTGACCCCCGGG